TGCTGTAGCTACTTTAATTAAAAAATGCAAGGTCATCTGCATGCATGGTCAGGGAGATATTCAGTCTCTGCAGAGGGCCAGCAAGGGATCCACGGGGCTCTTCTGTCATGCTCAAGTGCTCCTATGAAGACTTAAGTGGTGTTTGGACCTCCAGATGACCCTCTGCACAGGTGTATATTCACTTCAGTGCACAACGAGTGCCCTGTAAGGAGTGCCTCCTTTAAACTGTAGTTAGAATAATCATAAAAGTATTTTCCCATGCACACCAAGTATGAAACAAGAGTCATGAAGCTGCTCAGAATTCCGGAAATTTGAACAGTTTTCCTTTTCCTGAACTGATAATCACCTGGGCTCAAGAGGCCGGGAGGGTTTCGCGTGGTCACCTGTTGCCTACCTATTACTGCTAAGAACAAGCAAAATCATTCCCAGGCAGCATGCACAGGAAAAAAGGAAAAAAAAAATAAAAATGTACCTCATAATGGTTATTAAAGTTCCATTCTTTCATTTGCAAGAACTCACATTTTAAAGAAAGAAGAAATGAGTATCAAGAGATAAGGAACCATTAATGAGCCCTCTGCCTTGGTTTCAATTACACCGTGAAATTAATTTAATGCACTTTAAAAATACAAGAGGTAATCGCTTTCTCTTGGTAAGAGGTTGCAATTTTCTCTAATAAAGTGTCAATATAAATATGTTGCTTTAAGACAGAGAGAACAAGTCAGTTAATTCAGAAAGAATGGGACATATTAAAACAAATGCTATCAAGGAAACCAAATGGCAAAACTAATAAATAAACTGGCTGAATGAAAATTGTATGGCAGAGAGCTGGTAAATTGGCGTTTAATTAGAAACTTATTTTTAAAGAGTCTTTTATGCTAATGATATGCATCCAAGTGACTAATGCTGTGAAAGACAACATTACTCCAGTAATTTAAAGAAAGAGGAGTAGCCCATGTGAGGACAGGTGTTTATGGCTGGAAGTGGCAAGAAATCTGAGACCAATGAATCTGAAAATAAGTACACACATAGATACAAAAGGTTAATAATGCTTGTGGATTTAAAACATGCTGGCAGAATGTGAAATGGCTACACAGACTGGACAAATGCAGAGAGCTTTCTGATGGATTGCCAGATGTCACCACAGCAAAAGCTGATGATGAGTCCCTGCCGCCTGCCCTTGCCACCGGCATCAGTCCACTCTTGTGCTGAGACACTGGATGGAAGGAAATGAGCCCAACATATGTGCTTGCCCACTTGGGTATCTACTACCTCTGCTTTGGAGGATGCACTACTGGTGTCATGGCCTAGTGCTCTGAACTGCTGACATCCCACCCTTCCCACCCCCCCACCATCTAATAAACCACTACACAAAGATTTGAGAGATCTTTCTTGCGACCACAAGAATCAAGTTCATCTAAACAGGAGCAGCATGCAGAAAACCATGCAGAAGAGTGCACCACCAGGAGAGATGGGAAGCAGCTCCTGTGTAGAGCTGAACTGAAAAGGGGTTGAACTAAACAGTCTATTTCTTGCTAAAACAGGGGGAGAGAAAACTGGGGAATCTCCAAAGCTCTCTTTAATGGACTAAAACACTTTTAAAAGACTTGTCTACTTTCATTTTCTTGGGTTTGAGGCAATGGGATGTACAAAGAAAATTGCCTCCCAGCCTGCTGAAGTAGTGACAGTAGAACAGCCTCATGTGTCTCTCAAGTAATTAAAGCTACTCAGCTTCTGAACAGGTGCCTTGCAGCAACACCCAAGATGTGTTACAATCCCCCAGTAACACACTGCCTAACACATTTTATTGCTCAATTACTCCCACACTCACACTTAGTGCCCTTGTTAATCCAGTACTTCAAGAGAATACTTGCCTTGCTTAAACATGTCTTGGTTCTAATCATCCTGTCATTGGTGTAAATCAGAACTCATTTCACTAACATTCATGGAACTACTGTAGTGTCAAATGTCTAGGAATGGAAAAATTAGGCCTATATCCCGAAATGAACGTTTAGTCTGGCACCAGTAGTATCTATTTATTTTCTTGCATCAAAACAAAATATGCTTTTTCTCTGGTACCAACTCAAAGCAGAGCTTTTAAGCTGTCAATGCTGAGATTAGTCCTGACTCCAAAAAAGTTTTTTCTTCCTGACTCTTACCAAAGACACCACAGCAGTATCTTTGCTAGCAGCTCTGATGATTTCGTTCAAGGCAGACTACAGGTTCACTCATTCTATCCTTAGAAAGACAACAATGCAAATAAAGGCAAATACAGGGCAATGCCATTAAAGATAATCAATAAAATGAGTAGACAGAAGACAGCACAGACACAGTAGGTCATCTGGAACAACCCAGCTATCAGCCTTTGATCAGGTCACAATGTAATTACAGTTTTGTGAGTGTCTCTGTCCATTGCTGCACAGCAGAGAGAGCAGATATGACACCTCCCTTTAGGGGTTGGGATGTGGAGTGTCTGAGTCCTTCTATTCATTTGGAGTTAACGTATGGTGGGAATTCAGCCTCATGACATATGGAAATCTGAAACTATGGGAAAGTTCCAAACCACAGAACCACATTGTTCAGCTATTGCTCAGCTGCTCATACTTCACAGGTGCCAGCGATGGAAGATACTGTTACGTTATCAAGACTACAAATTCACTTGTGATGCTACCTAGCTTGTGAGCTGCAAGCAATACTGTACCTCTGAAGAGCTAAAACTGCATAAAATTAGCCACAGCTGTGCATACTCCAGGGTCCTTCCTAACTGTCAGGCACTGAGAAATACAACATTGCAATTCACGGAGTGGGAACGAGAAAAAAAAAGGGGGTGAATTTCCACACTCCACATATAGAAATAAGATATCTGCCTATATGTCAAAAGTGATATCCATTGAGACAGTGAAAAGAAACACTAGAACTACCATCATTTCTTGTCCTTTTCCATTCATGTCAATCAAGAAAAATCCAAAAGTATAAGTTCACCAAAAAACAGTAGCTCTAGGCATCCTTAGGCTCTACCTATCTCTTCTATATCTCTTATCAAATTAATATTAGTAAAAGATCCTTTTTTAAAAAGAGACAACATTCAGAAAAAACAGAATGAGAATAGCTTATTGACTCTTCCTGGTGACCTAACAGGTTAATGAAAATTAAATCATTTTGCAAAAGTCAACTCAAAGTCAAACACTTAACGTGACACTTTTCTGAAGTACCCAAATTAGACAGTGCAAATCAAAAGGTCATGCAAGAACGGGACTTTTCAAGCTACATAGGTTTTTATTTTTCTTTGAATAGTCACAGAGCAAATATCTTTCCTGCTAGCATGACAACATTCTTCCACCAACTCCAGAAAAAGGAACGACTGAAACAGAAGAAACTACAGGTTTCCAAAAATGAATTAAACTAGTTTCTCTGATCTCATGAAGAGACCTCTAGTCACACTCTGGGAGAACCCTGGGGAGACTCATTTCACCCAGACTCATCTTACCCGGTCTGGCTTTTTCTCTTTCTACCACCAGAAAGCCAAACTAAGGTATTCGAAATGGTCACATCACTACTAGCTGGAAGAACTGAGAGGGGAGGAGGGGAGACTGAGACACACGGAATGTTTGTAACCCAGAGAAATGAATTAAATAAAGATTTTACAAGGACCTTTTAAAAAGGAAAGCAACAAGAGGATATGGGGAGCACAAGAGCCACAGATGAAAAGGAGAAAGGGGAGAAATGGCTCATCCTCCTTGGCTTTCAGTGGTGACACAACTGCTTACAGCCCCACCAGTTTGTGTATCAGGTCTCAGCAGTGAAAACAGCTGCACAGTTGGGAACTTCATGCAGCACCTGCCACCCAGTGCATGGCTTTCTGTAACAGACTGGGGGATGTCTCCATAAGAAGAGGGAAAAAGTCCTCTTCTGCTATCCAACAACTGTTAGCTGGGGCTTCTTTGAGCCCTCCCAACTCCTCTAAGTGCAGATGCAGAAGTGATCAGCAGAAACGGCCACAAGACAGAAAGGAGTGGAGAGAATGGAAAAAAATGGGATGGTGCCTCAAAATAAAAAAAAAAATGTCATGGGTTCCTGCCAATTTTGTTTAACTCTCAAAAGACTCCAAAGGCAGTAATGCAGTTATTTCACATTACAGCAAAGCAGCAAGAGCACAAGACAGCAACCCTAAGTTTTGGAAATGAAGAGCTACCTGTAGCACAGCCCATGGCAATTACCCTATCATTTCCTTACAGCTCATTTTGAGACTATGACATGTGTTCAGGAAGTCTTTTTACAGGTACTCCTCTGTGTTACAAGTAAATTGGTTTCTGACAACTTTGCTGGCAAAGTAGCCCCTGGGGTGATTTTGAAGTCCTTAGAATAGTTGTTAAAAGCAACTCTAAACTCCAAGAAGGAACCCAGACATTGTCATCATTGGTCCCTAAAGAACTACACCTTGTGAAGCAAACTAGGGATTGGAGCATTGCATCTTAACAATTTTTGCCTTGGGTTTGCTCAGTCTGGTCTATTTGACCTATCGCTTTGGTCTATTCTGAACTAACTGCAATGAAAATAAGGAATGTACTCTACTAGTTTGTTGAATTAAACCATGAAAATGGTGTGATATAAGAACTGTGCCCCACTCAAGGTTAGGCTTATGCGAGATCTCCTCTCACTTATCTACTTTATACAGTTGCGGAGAGAATAAATTTGGTAGGAAGTTAATGTCACTTTTTCAGTGACGTTCTGCCAATAGCAAGAACAGTCCTCAGGACAGGAAAGCTGTTGACAGAGCAAGGGAAAGGAGGAACCACACATATAGTCCAGTGGTTCTGGAAATTGTTGTTCTGCCTTTGTAATCTTCCACGGAAAAAAAAAAAAAAGAAAAAAAAAAAAGAGGGGAGGGGGAAAGGAAAAAAAGGAGGCTTGTTCTTTGAATAGTGACTGTAATCAAGTTGTGTCACCACTGCAGCTTTTACATTACTGGCATCATGCTTTGCAGGAAAAAGAGACCCACGTACCTTTTGTTGCCAGCCGGACACAGTTGATTTTTGTTTCCTGAAAAATAAAAAAAACAAACAAACAAACAAAAAAACATCAAGGGGTGTAATTTGTCCATCTACAATAAAAATACATTCCTTTCAAAAGTACCTTTAAAAAGGTACTAAAACAAATAAGCATTTTTCTTACACTTCATCTCTGAAAATACCACCAACAGTTTTAGTTGCATAAAACACTCCATACTAATGGACTTGCCTACAGCTGCTTCTGTAACTGTTGAGAAGTTAAGAGTGACAACATGTTTTTCCACACTTGATGTGTGAGTGATGGGTCCCATGTAACTGCCTGATTAACTAATAGAATTTACCAGTTAAATGACCTGATCTGTAATAGGCAGAAAAGCCTTGGGTCAAAAGTACATGCAACTGTACATTTAATTTTCATGCACCATTACTGCAAATTTTGCAAATTGGGTATTTATTTAAACACATGGCAAACAGACACCAAAGTAGTCATTTGAATATTTCAGCTCTCTGATATGTATGTGAAGCAAAACAGCATGCTGTATGGCTAACTCTGCCAAATGAGCTATTCAAACACAACCCACACCACTGCAGTTTTTCATTGCAGAGCTGGGATAAAACCCAAGGCATTTGTTCAATCCACCTCAGAGCTTGCAGATCTGCGTAAGCAGGAGTTTGGATCGGAACAGCAATGTTGTATTTGGCTTAACTAACAGCTCAAACTCAGCAGCCTTCTCAGGCCACCTCCATGAAAACACATCCTTTCTGGTGTCCACAGCTTCTCATTCGACAGCCCTTATTAGCATGGGTTGCTTCTGCCCAATGCACGATTGCCATCCAAATCTTAATGTGTTGCTTCGGTTAAAAAGCTGACTTTGTCAGGCAGTAATCTGCTGCAGGGTTTTCGTAGCACTTTGTCTTTACATGCTCTTGTACAAGTCTCAGGTGTAATGAATACTGCATAAATTACCGTGTGTAACAATGCTACATTAATATGGATGCTGTCTGTGCTCTGGAAACAACAGCCTAGCAAATGCACTGCTGAACACTTCATTCCATCCTCAAGCAGTAAGATGAATACTGTTTAAGTCTGAATTTGATCTTGGAGAAAATCTGTTCCATCTGTGACAGATCCTCCTTGGCCTGAGCAGAAACACAGGGTCCCATTGTGCCTTTCTTCTCATGCTTACATTGCACGTAGGAAGGGGACAATTTCAGGATCCACACTGGGAAACACAAGAGCGATTCCCTCTCATCCCTTTCTATGCATTCCTCAAGACACAAGTCAGCTACACTGTCTGGACATAAGTAACACTGTGTGTAGTCTAAAAACAACAGAATATTCAGGACAAGCTGTCCCTTTGTTGATCTTGCCTTCAAACTCTCTTAAGGAACTCCCGGATCACTGAGGACAAATCATGTCTATTAAGGACATCCTTTCCCAGCCGTACAGCCCCCAGAGTGGGACTGAAGCACTGTTTATCCCAGTAAACCAGAGGCACCTCTCTTCTGTGCACTAATCCCTCTTTCCCTCAAAAATCAACTCCTCTACACAACCTGTACAACTGTCAGCACTACAAAGTCAACACAGCTGTACAAGAGAGCTCCCCGTTCATCTCTGCCTCCTGTATAAACAGCTCGAATTGCCAGCTATTCTGGAAATCAAAAATCTTTATTACTAGAGATGATATATGAAGCAGGAAAAACACAGCTTTATTTTCAGAGCACAGTCTCAGCACATAATGCTGGGAATTACAAGACAGACAGATTCTGATGTAGTTTACAATCTAAGACAAGGTGACCTGGAAAATCAGTGATGAAAAATAAAATAAGTAAAAAATACCAAGATAGCATTTTTGCAGTCTACAAGTAGGTGGGCATTTGCTCACATTTCACTGCGGAAAATTTTCTTGTGTATTTATTGCTTTCTGCTAGCTTCAAAGTGCAACAAAAAGCTAGAGAAATTAGTCAATGTTGAGAAAAGAAGAAGAGGTGAGAAAACAAAAACTGATATCTTGTTAACGATGCTGTAACTGATCTCATTTGAGCATGTGCATATTCCTGCACATTACCCTCCTACAGGGTAATTTGAGAAGACAGGATGCAGTGTGTTCTGTTTGCATCTACGACTACTAATTGCTGCATTTAGCACAATCATAGTTATTAGAAGACCATGATCTGGCACTGCCAAAAGCAGGGGCAATCCATCACTAGAGGAACGAGACATCTGGACTTCAAAACTTCATTTCATATTGCATTTTCTGAGAAGGAAAACACAAAAACCTGCACAGACACCAGAGGTCCAGCTAGTAGGGATGCTTAAGTTTAAAGACTTGAACTTAGTCCATATTCATGATTAGGGCTGATTATTCCATTGATTTCCATTGATCACCTCATTGATCAATGCACTGCTGATCTCTTTGGTGTCTCGCAAAAATGAGATCTCTTTAAATTTACTCTATTTTTCTTTGATTGATGCTGAGAATTGTGAATTTGTATGAACTTTTCTACCAAGAAACAGAATAAATATATACTCAGTTTTTTTCCAAAAAACAGTAAAACCATTTTCCCATGATCACATTTGTTTTCTGAAAAAGACTACTTTTTATTCAGAAAGGTGCTTTCCTGCCCACAGTAAAGTAAGATGCTTCTGTTTACACAATAGTAAAGCGGGAATAAACAATGTAGGTAATTCTCAATTATCCATCCAGACAGCTTAAAGCAATTATAAGAAAAATAATGAAATAAAGAGATAATAAAAAAGTTGTAACAAAACAAAACTAATTTCCCCAAATTTCAATCTCCATGTTGTTTCTAAATGTTCTTTCAAACACTGTGATACCTAATTCCTATTTTATGATATCACAGAAGTTTTACAAGGCCTTATGTCTACAACAGTCTTAATGATGACCCATGATCCTTCATATTCAGCATATCTGTTTCGTATTATGGCTGAACTCACAGGAATAATTCAGTTTAAGATCTCACTAGCATTACTACTTTGGCTCTATATCATTGCCAGGTTAAGGCAGACATTTTATATCAAAACAGTAATAGAACAATGTAGGCATATTTTAACCAAGATCCTGGAATAGGAAAACACTGCATGAATATGTCCCTACAGCTCTTGATCCAACCTTCATTTTCCAACATGCTTCGTATCCAGAAAGCTTACTACTTACTAAGCCCATCTACATGTTTACTAGAACATATTTACATAAGTTTGTTTTCTGGAACTTACTTGCATATGAATAAAACATAATTACGGTGTACCCTCACTCAAGGCTGAACCCTGGCTAAATTCTTAAGTCCATACACTGTGCACATAGACCATATGAGGCCTGTGTTTCAAAGCGCTGGCAGACTGTTCCTGGAAGGCAGACCTGGACCTACAGTTGGAATGAGCTGGAGACGCTCTGAAGAGAGCACAGATTGTGCTGAGAGCTGGGTAAGCCCTCTCTGCCAATAGAGCTCATGCACACAGACTTGAAACTGCACACCATGAGCCTGTTTTAGCATCTCTCTGAATTTTCAAATTTTTTTAAAACATTCTTTTAATACAGTTTCTTTCTTTTTTGAAGCAAGGGAGCTGATGCTGTCTACTAATTACTTAGGTTCCTAAATGCACATTTCACTGAAGTACACTGGATGAGAACAAGACAAGTTCTGCCTCTGTCTCTTCAGTGTCTGGATGGGAACAATTTTCTGCAGAAAAGGGCTATGAGGGCACCAGGACATATGTTTATGTGACAGCTGTGTCTTCACAACCTAAAAGGGCAAATGATATTTTTTTTTTTTCTTTTAAAATGACAGCTTGCTGTTTACAGACTACAAACAACAATCAAAGAAGCAGAGCTTTTTCATCCATCTGTTTTCACACCCACAATTTTTTCTTTCCTTTACTATTATGACGAATTTGCATTTGTTAAACAGTGCTTGCCTTGTCTGAAGAGCCACTTGCCAGCACCAGTGAGACCTGCTGTCCCCAGACATACCATGCGGGGCTGCCCTGCAACAGGCATAGTTTCATCAGGCTGCTCAAATCGGGGACAGGCAATTTTAACTTTTGCTGGTGCACAGACAAGACAAGTAATTACCATTCTCCTACTTGGCCTCAGTTTCAACTTTAGTTCCCCATGTCCCAGAGCTATACACAGAGCATGCTTGTTAGCAACCTGCTTCACACAGGCTAGAAACCATGGTTCTGTCTACTGAACATCTGAAGGAATTATTTTTTTGGTCCTCAGCAAACTTTGCCCAAGTTCAGGGGAGCTCTGGATCACATGTTTCTTTTTTGTCCCACTGAAGCCAACTGTTTGCTGTCTTTAAAATTAATCATGTGCATATGCCTCCGCAGGGTCAATGGACTCCCCTATAATTTCTATTGCCAGCTTAAGGAAACTGCTAGTTCTCCAAGGCACTAAGCAAAACCTAGTATTACCTTTCCAATTATCAGTTGTTTTTAGTGTCCATGTCATTTGGAGAAGGGAGACTTAACGAAGTGGTTAGGGCTTTTATTATTTACAATAGAAAATTATTTCAATGATATATAGTTAATCATTCAATACCCACACCTCTCAACCTCTCAAACGTAAGGTAGACTGGAGGAGGATTTTATTTACTCTCCAGAAAACACTCAGGTCCACATCCTCTGGCCCAAGATGGCCAACCAGATGTGGAAACAGGGGCTTACAAAGAGTGAAGTGCTTCCACAGCTGCTTTATTTCTGCCCCAGCAGCTCCAACATGAGATTGAGGAGTAAACATAAGTGAACAAAAATGTACATCTGAAATCCTACTGAACACAGAGCTCCTCAAAGCTCTTTAATAGTTCACAGAAGTAATGCAGGCGGCCTCAGTGCCACTTCATTTTTCAGAACACAGCTTGTGCTGAAGTACCTCACTGTTTTTTTTGTGAGCCATCTCCACAGGGATGAAAGCCACCTCTCTGCTGGCAGCTCTATCCCTACCTCCAAAATGTCCCAGAAGAAGAATGTTGTGTACTGTGAGTAGACCTGTCAGTATCTAGAAATCCAGCCTGAAGTCCCCTGATAATAATGAACTGCCTGATTGTGCATGTAGTACAAGTCATTAGAGAGGAAAAAAAATCAATAGGAATCTCTGTGGAGTCTATCATTCCCTCAAAAATAATATTCTCATTGATTCCTGTGGTGCTACTTTTCACAATCCTGGCCTGAAAACATCATTCACCTGTTGGCCCACCAGGCTGCAGGAGCAGCTGGCAGCATCCCCACATCACCTCCTGCTGTGTAACGAAGGCTCCTGCCTCATCTCCCATTTCGAGGAAAAATGGCCAAGAGTTATTGATTGCAACTGTGCCATTACAGATTTCATTTTAACTCAATGAGGTAAAATGAAACTCCAGGAAGGATTTTTTAGGAAGCTCTGGTTTCTGAGCTGCTCAGAAATTCAGGCAGGTTTCACATAGCAGCCGAAGAACTCTCCCCATTTGAGCATGTTGCTGAATCACTAACCAGAGACTGTCGCCTACAATGACCCAGGTAAAGAAGCTGGGGAAAATAAAACCTGCAACATTTAACTTTGATTATTAAGTCAGTATAAGGATAAGAGAGGATAAGGAGTAACATGGTGTTGCCACCCTGGCCTCACTTTTCAGAGGGATATACACTAAAAGGGCTGGTGTTTTAAAGGGGCTGAGCTCAGGAAGATTTTTCAGACAAGGAAAACTTCATGCTCTGTCAGGCAGCCATCTGTAGCAGGTGGCACCAGGACAACCAGCAAACATCAGTTAACTACCTGGATGGCTGCAACAGCATGTGTGGAGATCCTGCCAGAGCAGAGCGAAGCCAGTAGTCCGTTCTTCTTCCTGTGTCGCTTCTCGTGCTAACTCCTTCTAACAATTAAACTGTAACTACTGGTTACAAAGCCTGCAGCTTCTGTTTCCTTTTTCTCTTTGTTCCCTTCTTACTTCAAACTCTGACACATTTCAGCTCAGCATCTGGCTTTCAACAGTCCCTAGGAGGGAAATTCACACAATTTGGAAGCGTTTTGTATAACAAGGCTGAAAACCATTCTGTTTCACACATGTTCTATTTAGACCCCTGTCTGGAAGCAACACTACGTTGACCAAACTCCATGCAACTGTCCACAGAAAAGAATTCAGCCAGCGACAGCTATCTCATTCAAACTCTCAAACAAGTACAACATTGCACAAGAGGAGGCAGAAAAGCTCGTGATCTGATTTTGCAGCAATTTGCCACACTTGTTTTGCATCCAGCTGCTAATTATGTTTCTTTCACTGTAACAATCATGGCTAATGGTTGCAGATCAGATGAGAACACCAAATGAGCACAACCCTCCACATACAGAGGAGCTGAAACAATGTAGAACTCCTGTAGCACTTCTACCTCCTTCTAATCAAGCTTTTTGACCAAATACAGAACATTTCTTCAAATTAAGCTCTCCCCAGAGTCCTACATTTCCAAAGGAAGATGTTCTGGTTCGCCGCACGAAGGTTTTTCATTGCAGATTCCAGGTGTGGAAAGAAGTTTCATCATTCCACAAATGTCAGTGATTAATGAAACTATAGAATATCCTAATTAAAAAGCAAGTGGCAATGTTCTGTTAAGTTTTTCATGTGCAAGGGAACCTAAGGCTATATTTTAATTGTGCTAAATTGTTACTGTTTCAGATTTTTTGCAGATGTGCATTATCAAAAATGCCATGTTGCAGCCATAATTATTAGTAGGCTTTATGAAGACCAGCCAAAGCAGCTCAGGTTATGGACATAAGTGAAAACCCAGAACTCTTCAATACAAATTATACCTGTGAACAATTCTGGGAATGAAACAAAACTTATTATTTACAGCTGCAAAAGACTGGATGCAAATGAGACCCCTAATGTTTGAAATGTGGGGCTTAAGGATTTTATCAAGAAACAAAAAGTATCACAGCTACTCCTCTGAAGATCCATATTCCACTCTTGGACATTTCCTCTATATTTTTTCCCATAGCACTGCATATCGAGGATATATAAGCATATACTCTACCGATACAAATTATTAACACAAGACGCAATTTCTTGCTCAAACAGGAATTTGCTTTGTCTGGAAGGATACTTCTCATGCTGTCATAAACTGTGTATTGTTGCATACAGACTCTTTTGATTAACTTTTGCTTAAAAAGTCCTTTACAGTCTTGTGTTCCTATTAGAACGGTCCAAGCAAGTCATTCTTTTTTGAGTCCTTATCACCTTGTATGTAGAGAGTGTGATGCAACCTGCCAGCTACAGAGATCCAGAAAAAGCAGGAACCACACATTAGTGCTGCCTTAATCCAGAATGCCAAGGGAAGCCTACATTTCCATTCATATAATCCATTTATGGCATATTATATTGTACTTAAGCAAATAAAGTTTTTTCTTCCCTGGGGATCCATTCACTAGCAATTAACTATCACACAAGGGGGAACTAACTAGACACAGAGAGACATATACATAGATTTCACAATTTCCTTTATAAAGGCAAATCCAAAATTGAATTAATTGAGTAGTGCTGGAAGGAAACTATATCGACTAGAAATGAAACCAAGGTGAAAAACAGCAGAGTATTGAAGAGATTTGTGCTTGTCAGCCACACAGCAGAAACTCTGCAGGAGAATGGTGATAAATGAAGGTAGTAAACCACCAAGATATGTTGTGAACATTCATTGGCATTGCTAGCCTGTTGAACGATGTACAGTCTCTGTGATGTGTGGCTGTGTTTGGGGTATAAAAGGCACTATTCCCAAGTGGAGACCAAAGCCTACACCATTCACCTTTTTTCTAATTTTTCTCTTTCAGAGGTGATGTCTTAAAGAAAATATCTATGTTTAAAGTTAGATTCATGAAAGCACTGGCAAATGTGCTAATAACAGACTTGGCTACCCAACTTCTTGGTGCCATATTAATGCTCTAAGACTCTTCATGAGGATGGAGTGTTAAATTGTATCATGTTATGTGATAATGAAAAACACTTAGGGGAGTGTTAAAGGGGAGGAAGGTGAATGACTGCTTAGACTGGGTCTGGCCTAGACACTGTTAGCTGAACTGACTTAAAACTCTTCAGAGAGTTAAAAGAGAAGGTCACAAACTATCCTAGGCTGGAATAGAAGAGGGAAAAGAGGCCTTCCCTTCTCCTATGATAAGATCTGCTGGGACATTATGTGTATGTCATTTGAGTCTGAAGATAAGGCAGACTATGTTTCCTGTGCAGTCTCCATTTTAAACTTAATATCATAGAGTAAGTATATGTAAAAATATAGTCCAGGGTATTCAAAAGGAGTTAGACAGACATGCATACAGTCCCCCCTGCAGTACAGCTTACTCAAGCTGAAAATCTCAACCATAAGCGCTATTATAATGTGGCCAAAGGCAAGCTACAAGGTAATCCAACTTCATAGCTTTTGGGTAGTTCTCATCTCATAATGTCTCCTCCAAAATCACAAGCACTGTGAACTGGAGACTATCAGGATATTGCAGTTACATCTTTTAAAAGCACAGTAGCCCCTATTCTGACATTCATGCATATGCAAGGAAAAAAAAATCCAAATTCTAAGCAGTTCATTTTGGAAATCACATGCCAACATGTGCCTTTACAGAGTCTGGCTCCCCAACAGGTTTCTCATGGGATCTAGGCATCAGAGAGAGACTTGAGTGAAGGACAAGTAATGGCATGTTTAATTTTCATCCAATTTCTGGAAAAGAGTAATAATAAGGAGGAGTTAAACTGGCATCCAATGGAGAAGGAAGGAGAAAGATGAGGAGGATAGACAGAGGTGGTCATATGTACAGATCCAGTTCAATTTTCTCTGCACTTACTCCATTTGCCTTGCTAAGAGCCTGGAAGTATATGCTGTAGCTTTTCAGGGGAGAAAGTGGAGCATTCCAGTAGCCGTTGTAGGTTTTGTTGTCTCCCACTGTGAATGGCTGTGTAACAGGCAGGTTGGTGGGTTTCAGCTCAGCTGCAAAGTAGTGTGGTGAGTCAAGACTGGAAGCGTTCTTGTAGCTCACTGGTACAGAGAAGCATTCAATGATGTCTGCAGCTCTCCGTGCTTTCTGCAGCTTCTCCTCCTTGACAACAAGTTGATAGACACTAGGAGGGAGAGAGGAAGGTAAGATTAGAGCCCCAAGAGCCTTAAATATCAAGAATAATATCCAACAATAAAAGTGTAAAGCAAAGTAAGAAATACACAGCTAGGGCATCACGGCAAACACAGTTCTTGGCACACCAGTAATGGTGGCAGTGGCCACTGAAAGTTACTGTGTGGGCAAAGTGCTGATCACTTGCTCTGTTGATTTAGTTGAGTTAATCAAGATACAGCCTGGTGAAAGTCAGAATAGATTTCAATCATGTCACTCTTTGGAAAAAGGAGTAACTAATAAAATATCCAGTATATAATGAATTTTTAATATGCTGAATATTAGAAAGCAGATGCTTTCTTCTTTAGCCACCAAGTTGAAACATGAACTGTTTGCTTGGGCCAAATGGCGATTGCAGTAGAGGAGAGCACTAGCAGGTGGCAATGGTGTCAGATCCCTTTTGAAACAGTTACAGGGTGCAAGAACAAGTTTAGATCAAAAAGATTCTCACATCTTCTAAGAATGTACCTTTTTTTGGCCCTCCCTCACATCTCTTTTGGGGATATATCCTGGGATGTAGAATTCTCTAACAATTCCTGATGGCAAGTCTCCACCTACCTTACATCACTAAAAGGTTAGCTTATATACTGAGTGGGTGGCTTCATAGCTCTCCCAATTAACTTTTGTTTCAGGAAACAACAACTTCTCCTATTCTTTCCAACTCTATGAAATGTTAATCCTTTTCGATTCCTGCTAAGCTTTTGGCCTCTGTGATATGTAATAGCAATCTTGTTACTTCTAGCTTACTCTTTCAGGCTCAAAGAGGTTGCAAGGCATTCAAATGCACTCTGCTTTTTTTTTTTTCCTCAGGCAGTTAACAAAGCCCTTAAGTTCAATGCTGCTATAGATGCAGCAGGTTTACTGTCTGCTTAACACCACTCACCCATCTGACAAAGAAAGATACCACTGCAGTCATTTTACTTTTTGTCAGGATATTCACATGTGCTGCCCTCACCTGTCTGTGTGAGACTGGTCCTTTGTTTAGTTAGACAGGGGAGATCGATTAAAAGATTGGAAACAGCCAGCAGTGTATCATTCTCCCGGCTTTCACAGGCTCATTGTTGCAGAAAGATTGGTCTGAAAAATTTCTAGCATAGCAATAGCTCATCAATGGTTCTGTGGGAAGTGAAGTTCTGGCACCTTCAGCAAGCAGGAGTGAAACAAAACCTAGTTCATGCTTCTGAATTAACTGTTACTTCAGGTCTGCGGGTTTCTGGCAGTCTCACCATTAACAATGAGGTGGTCAGTGAATCACTTGGCAATCATTTGGCTCCCACTGCTAGACAACAAAACAACTAATCTTTACAAGTACAACCAATTTATGAATTGCTCGATACTGAAGTCGTCCTTACACAAGCTGCTACTAGCGTTTGCTAATACAGCAGGAGCACCCACCAGATGTACAGACTGCAGCCTTTAATGATGTCCCGTCAGCAATTTGGAAAACTTTCCTCAATTCTACAGTTCATTGGAGGCTTTAATAAAATATTTTATACCTTCTCTGATATTTATTTTATGATTCTTAAAAAGGTAAGCAGGTTTTCCAGCAACACTTTAAGTATTTTTATTGAGGACGTAGTGAGAGCTGTAAGCAAAAGCCTGTTTAACATAAACCCTCTCCTCAGCTTAGCAACAGAAACTTTTAGCTTGCCATTTTGGAGACTGTTTACTAACAGACTAGCTGCAGATTCTTATTCTGACCCTTCTCTCTGGCAATAATAATCTACACTACTGGGAAAGTTTGTCATTTTGTGCATCAGTAATGTGCAAAATTATAGCTGACACTTCTATGGGCATTTGCCACATGCCTACTAAGCTAAAAATTCTTGGTTTCTATTTTATCCAATCCCAAACACTTGTATTTTCTGATTATAGAAAATGTTTCCTTTATGCATATACATAAATATATACATATAAATATATATTAACCTCCTTTCAGCCTACACAGAGGCCAAGGGTTCCCTCTTCCTATCTCCCTAGCCCTACAGTGTCCAAAGGGTGATACTCATTCTCTTGGTTATTCCACTTGCAAGCAATAAGCCTATATACTTGTCTGTCTTCGGAGAAGGGGAAGCTCCCAGGGACATGAATTGCCAGATAACTGAACTCTTTCCTTAATCATTAGAGGACTTATTTACCTCTGAAGACATTCTCAGTTTCTCCCTTGACAATTCTAACATATGCTCCACCAGTATAGGCACTCTTTTTTTATCACGAGCGAGAGTTTTGATACATATAGAATCATAGAATCATTTAGGTTGGAAAAGACCTTCAAGATCATCGAGTCCAACCATCATCCATGCCCACTAAACCATGTCCTTAAGTGCCACATCTACAGGTCTTTTAAATACCTCCAGGGATGGTGACTCAACCACTTCCCTGGGCAGCCTGTTCCAATACCTGACAACCCTTTCAGTAAAGAAATTTTTCCAAATATCCAACCTGAACCTCCCTGCTGCAACTTGAGGCTATTTCCTCTCGTCCTATCTCCAGCCACCTGACAGAAGAGACCAGCACCCACCTCACTACAACCCCCCTTCAGGTAGTTGTAGAGAGCAATAAGGTCTCCCCTCAGCCTCCTTTTCTCCAGACTAAACAGCCCCAGCTCTCTCAGCCGCTCCTCATAAGACTTGTGCTCCAGGCCCCTCACCAGCTTGGTTGCCCTTCTCTGGACACGCTCCAACACCTCAATGTCTTTCCTGTAGTGAGGGGCCCAACCTAATAACGGATACTCTTTTGCCTGTATTCTTTCACATTTTCATGTTCCTACTTAGCCATTAACGCACTTCTTCCTTGCACAGGGATAACTCACTCTTTTAATGACCTAAAATTTTATTTTTAATGTTTATTCTTTTGGAATAAATTGAGGTGTCTCTGGAAGCACAACAGTACATTCATGAGCATTGAACTGAAATGTAATAGATGTCCCATTTTTGTTCAAGTTAAAACCCCGTTAATCTCCTGTTCAAATACCATCTCCTTTCCTATGAAACAAGTATCTGAGCTAGCACTGCTGTCATTGTTCCCTCTGTCTAAAAAACCTACTCTGGTGAAACTTAGGATGAGTGACTGACTGCTTTCTTGGCATTTTTTTCCTTTATGTCCCAGCTCACACCAGCTGACACAGCACATTCATCTCTATGTGCTTTACCTGTTGGACTTGGTGACTGTCATCCTTCAGCCTCACTCTCTTTGAGTCTCAGCTATTTGGTAGTGATCAAGTGGCTACTCTCAAAGGAAGTGGTCAGGTGGCCAAGAGCATGGCTGATTTCAAAGACTACTCTGTACTGAAGATTATCTCTCTGAGAAATTGTTTCCTTATCAAATGATTACTCTGGGTCTCACTTTCTGATATTTTGATCCCAGTATTTTGATCTGTCTAGACCCTCCAGAAGTGCAGGATTCACAGTTGACCCCTGACTAGTACACAGACCGGTACAGCCTCATTTTCTTTTTTCTTCTTTTGTGCCATATCTTTGTTTTTCAGGTTATGCTCTTTTCCTCATGTTTTGTTTTCACCTAGGAGCAGAATTTTCCTCACTGCTTTTAGGGCATTTTCAGAGATCACCTTCTCTGCATTAACCAGTGGAGTGCTTCCACACCCACCACCATCAGCATTAAGATGCTGTCATAACTGTTTGCTTTTTAATTGGAGCAAAAAGCCAATGATTCTACATCCAGATGAAATTCCTGTGGGAATTCTGAGTAGCAAGCACGCAATTACCCACCCTGAAGTTTGGCCAAACCATCTCCATTACTGCAACAATTCTCAAAAGAGTAAAAGTAATTCAACTTTGCTCAGAAGATGATAACTTTCCGTGATACATTATGACCCCTAAGAAAGTGGTCAGGCACTAACTCAAAATAAACTCAGTGAGTAGGATCTGCCCTTTTGGCCTGCAAAAGCACTTTAGCTGCAAGCACATCTCTCTTTCAGTGCTGAGCAGGGTCAACCATTTGCAACTTGTTACAACTGACAATTTTGTAATACACAGCAGCGTGATTACAATCAAGGGAAAGGAGGAGTAGTTTTCCAAAAAGAAGTGCTAGAGGGAAGGAAAAAAAAGTGGACAATAGAAATAAGGAGGAGATACCCAAACTATTCTAATACTATTCTAGCTACCAGGTAGGCAGTAACATGGATTTCCTGGGGCTCTCCCCATCTCAAGCTTCAAAGCTACTTCTTCCAGCCAGTATCAGCTAACACTGCATTTGCACACATCAGGAATCAATACATCAGTTGCAAATGCCCAGCTGGATAAAAGAAAGTTTCAGTGTCATACACTGAAATTATATTAAAAGAGACAACAAAAGCAGAGCATTAAAACTCCCAATGCTATATAATAACTTCAGTGCCAATAAACTGAAAGATGATACAGTAAAACTAACTACTACTTTTCAATGTTTAATATTCAGCTACATTTGCAAGCACTGCAATCAAATCCACACATGTGCATGCTGCAGGGCAATAGAAGCAGAGCTCTTGCGTTCCTAGTGCTAAGCTACTCCACCCCACCTCACTGCAGCCAAGTAACACTGCTGTCCCCATAAACGACAGGAAAGGACTGGTTCCCAAACATCCATAAGCTGTGCTCTCCAGAGACCCCTCTAGGGATTCTAAAATCTGTGCTACTAACCGAATGCCTGACTTCCTAGAAGGCCGGGGAGCTGACTGCCCTGTTGTGCAGCTGCACACTCCCAACACTGGGCTCCTTGATAAATTTCACAGGTCTTAGATAAATAAATCCACATTACTTTAATAGAAGCTTTTTAAAGTTTTTGACAGCTCCATTCTAAATCACTGATAAAAGCACCAGCCCTAATGGTCACCGCAGCACAAATGTTGTCTGCAGAGGAAGAAAATGTGCTCTTATCATCATCTACAAGGTAATCTTTTAAATGATGAGTTCTTTATTCAGTGTAGAAGCACAAGTGTGGATAATCAACATTCCA